CATAGGGCCGTTAACCACTACAAGGCCAATCTATGCTGAAAAGCCTAGCATCAGTGTGTAGGTACTTATTCTTTCTTGGGAAACACCGTCACTGTACACCCCACGAAACTAAGATTGTTTCGAACCTTCCGGACAGTAATTGAACGTTTAACTGTTCGAATTCGATTGTCTGAATGGCAGTGTGATTAGCGCCTCTCATCCTTTGATCAGAAAAACCATATCACATGCTCTCGCACTGACTGGCTTCTTGTTGTTCTTTCTCTGAGCCACTTATAGATTGATCGTAATGTGATGATAAATCCTAGTTGATTTTGTAGGATATTCTTACACTACGGTCATTTGAATAGGAGGGGTACTCAATTTACTGCTGAGATCCTTTGATGAGACTTCAAGCAAGATATCGTCATTTTCACCTCTCTAATAATTAAGGAAAGAAACCAGAAAAGCGGATATCCTCCTGCATTAAACAGCTATATACTAATGAAAAAATATGGGATATTCTCCTACTCTTGCGCAAATCGGCTATTTATTAAACGCAACAAAAATAATAAAATCAACTGCGGGTACTCAAGATAAAATAAGCCGGGATCAAGTGGTCTGTCCCAGCTCTCTCTCTCTCTCTCTCAATATCTCTCTTCGTCACTGACTCTTAGCTGAATCTTTTCCATCACATTTGTCTTCAGATGTAACGTGCGGTGAGGTTTCTGTTCATCAGTCGAGAAACGCGCTTGGCTGATCCTTGACGAAATCGCACGAATACCATTCAGTCAGAAAGAATGATCAACAGGCTCAAACAAAATTTCTTTGAAACGTGGCCGATATTATGGCCAGAATTCCCCTTGATATATTTAAATGAACTACGCTGCTACTATTACTCGTGCCACACTAATTATTCCTCGAACGTCGCTCATTCCAGCACTCTTATAGGTGCCATTTACATGCATTTTCCGAAACTCCCATCAAATGTAACTGTAACGTTCCGATTGAGAAACTGGTGACAGTATGGATATTTCCTCCAGTTGGAGCAAAATTTAACTACTCAACAATCGTTCCGTTGGGGGATTAGATAGTGAATAATCAGGACCATACAAATTGACAGGTAGTATACTTCAAAATTAAAGCTGAATACAAATGCCAATTGCTTTCCTCAATATTGGCCTCCTCATACTAACCGTTGTCAGCTGCTGCGGCTAACCAGCGAAATTTGAATCCAAACTCTGTTAAGTGAAGGTCATTCAAATTGAGGTTGAGTGTTTGCCTCTTGACGTTTGACTGAACAGTGTGGTATTTCGAAGTCTGATTACGTTATATTAATCACTAGTGATCTTCCCTATAACCCAAGTAAGTGAGACACTTGAGCAGTTAAAGTTGGAAACTGTCACTACCTACAACTATGTATGCCCGTCTCCCTACCGGTCTATATCACAGTGTCTGATTTAGATGTGCAGAAGCTCGAGGACACCTTCACAATTAGTAAACCAAACATAAAATTTTCATAGCCAAAATAAGTTTGGTACATTTTATTCTCCTATGTCACCTTGCTATACTTTTCAATCTAGGGATTTCAGTCATGATTAAGTCCGCTCGCTCATATATCTTCATCATCCGATACCGAATAAAATTCAGCCTCTTGATAATTCCGGATTTTTGTTGAAGACGAAGAAAGGCCACCACGGCACTACAACTTTTGGATGGTGGTAGACTTGCATGCACAGTCGTCTTTGTTAACGCCTTATACAGACACGGAATCCTTACACCGTCGTCGAAGAACAGCGGTAAAATCGGAAACCTTCACGCTTATCCTACTGTAGTGGTTAACGGCCCTATGGAGTCTC